TGATCAGCAGGTAGTATTGTCGCCTGGGCAAAGAACCACATACCAACGTCACCCGCAATGTCGCTGTTGAGTCCAGAGAAGACGAGATCGCAGTCAGCGAACTGTTCAGCCTTGCAGTCGCGAAGGACGAGTGTGCTAAGCTTCTCCGACATAGCCGTAGACTGCTTCCACCTCACGGCATCCTTGTACTGTTTGCCCGCAGAACGCTCAGACGCACCGACGGCGTGCAGCTCCAGGAAAGGGTGGTCAGCAAGCAGGAGGATAAACCGCTGGCCCACGGAGCCGGTGGCGCCAAAACACCTGGATGTTATTAGCACTGCAGCCACAGACGAATCGCCAGTGTTGTATATCCATACCGCACTTCTTCTTAGGATATGAGGCCATTTTGTTTGATATCGAGGTGGTCGCTCTGCGATTCTCGTGATCTGATAGTTGTCAATTACTCGTCTTTGACAGTCAATGAGACAACGATGGATGATTTAAACAAAAGCATTGGCATCAAAAATCTCAATTGGAACATGCTCACGGGGAGACATAGCCAACTTCCGGTTGCAGCGCCTTAACCGACGGAGCCCCGCAAGGGATGAAAGCACAGTTGTATCTCCACCATAGGCATTTTTGAAGATTGTGACACGATAGACAAACAGGTCGCTTTGCAATAGCCACAATGTGATTGAACTATGAGCAAATTAAACGAAATGCACTCACCTCTTGGACAATGATGCGGAAGTTGGAGAGGAACAAGAGTGGCGTTACCGATTAAAACTGCGATATCGCTCCGGAGCACATCTGCCCCGCTGTGACTCAGCCCTCACTAGTGACTGACTAACCACTCCGTAGCATTCTCCGCCAATTTGATTGGTCAATTGCTCCGATCTTATAGAAATGTGAATGGCATCATTCTAGGGCCTCGAACTAGACCATAAATGGATGGGGTCAATATAGTTGAAAGTGACATAGTTGCTATGAAACTAGCCATTGATATGTACAGCCTTTTGTCTGCCCTATTTACGATGCATATGCCATCCTCAGCTGAGAGAACAGATTGCGCCATCTATGCTTCGTCCTCATAATCGAAGATCTTGCCAGGGTTCAATAACCAGTGTGGATCGAGGGACTTCTTGATGGAACGCATAATTTCAATCGTGGCTGGGCCAAGCTCCTTTTTCAGTGAATTTTTCTTGCCCAATCCCACACCATGTTCACCCTGAAAACTGGTCAGTCATGCTTTCAGGTACAAGTTCAGGTTGCTGATGTCTTACAGTGCAAGAGCCTTCCATTTCCAATGCACGATCAACCATGTCGTATACAACCTTTTCTACTCGCTCCCTTTCTTCTTGAATAGTGCGGTCATATAAGATACTTGCGTGGAAGTTGCCATCTCCAATATGCCCAAGGATACTGGCAAAGATTCCCAGGTCATCGAGTTCTTTCTTGGAGATTTCTACTATAATTAGCTAAAATCCAGGTATTGGGTTTTAAAAAGCATACCAATAATGTCTGGCAATCTAGAGATCGGTACCGAAACGTCGGTTGACCACACTTCGGATCCTCGCTCTCTTAGTGCCAGCATACTCCAGAGCGATTGTTTTCGCGCAGACCATAAATCATGTGCTTCTCGCTCGTCTCTTGCAAATTCGAACGAGCTTGCGTTGTTGTTCTTTGCTAGTGCTTTAGTCAGGTTAATACTATCCGCGACCCCGGCCTTGGTGCCGGAGAACTTGAAGAATAGAGTGGGCAATTTCTTCCATGTTCTTCCAGTTCCTCCGGCGCGGTTGATGACATCCATCTGTATCTCATCAAGAATCTCCATACACTGTACTTGAATGCCTTTTCGAACAAGCTGCATGGCAGTGGATGCCGCATCACGTACAGTGGGGAAGGTCACCACACCGACACGAGTCTGCTCTGGAATTGGCGTCAATTTCAGAGTCGCTTCAGTCACAATACCAAGTGTTCCTTCAGACCCAACAAACATGCCTGTCAGGTTATACCCGGCTGAAGTTTTGCGTGGACGGCGGCGTGTTTTGATGACACGGCCATCTGCCAGCACGACAGTAAGGTTAATTACCCAATCTTTCATGGTCCCGTATCTCACGGCATTGGTTCCACTGCAGTTTGTTCCAATCATACCACCTATCATTGCAGACGGTCCAGGGTCAACGGGGAAGAAAAGGCCGCTGTCCTTAATCTTCTCATTCAGATCCATCCATTGAATAGACGGTTGAACCACAACGTCCATATCAGATTCGTGCAACTCAAGTATCTTATTCATCGTCACGAAGTCAATGGTCAATCCGCCTAGAGGGGCCGAAAAATTGGCCTCCAGACTAGAACCCCCGGAGTAGGGTATCATTGGCATTTTGTATTTGTGACAGATCTTAGCGATCTTGGAAACATCATCTGTACTCGCCGGGTAGGCAATGGCAACTGGCAGACGATCAGCGTTGACGCTGGACCATTCTGAAAACCCATGTTGTTGAAGATCGTCTTTGTCGGTGCTGATGATCTCATCGCCAAGCGTGGCTCGGAGTTCTGCAATGGCCTGTTTTTTTTAAATCGACGTTTAGCCAAGTACACATGATATACTATGTATATATATATTGAGAACACGGGAGAACTGGTTAGTATTCTACCTTCTCAAAATCCTTCGCAGATCCATACTTGGGATGCTTGCTATTCAAGGACTGGGACTGTCCGCTCGTCACAGCATATGCATAGCCGACGCCTGCAGCCAAGGCAGAGGCTAATAGGGTCCTGCCTGAAGTCCGAGAGCCTGAACGGTTGCCAGAAGGCCCAGTATTGGCACCGTTCCCCTGTCCAGCATTGCCGTCATTCTTGTCTCCTGCTTTTGAATTACTAGCCCAACGCACTGCTCCTTGAAGAGAGAAGGAATAGCGTGGCGAGAGGGCGCTGGGCCGGCTTTGAAGGGCGCGGAGATGTGCGGGGAATGCCCGAGGCACCTGGCTGAGCGGCCGCATTGTCTCACGAGAGCTCGGATCCACGGGGGGTGTGAGGAATATTGCTATGTGTAAGATCAAGGGTGTTGATTGAGCAATATATATTACATTCCAAGTCCGGTTATAAAAGACATACTAGGCCTCGAAGGCCGAGAATGGGGTCTCCGATTATCCAGTGGTAGCCCGTTATAGGAGCTTGGCCTCGGCGCGAGGGGAAACGTCATCGGGGCTAAGGATGAGACGTACAGCAGCTATCGGAAAAAGGCCGAGTAGAATGCCATAAACCTGCCTTTGCTGGATAGTGGAAATGGCCATGTCTAAGTCTAGAGGTGCGGAAAAAGTAGGTTCACCCCCCACATTGGTGAAGGCTGAGCAACGATGATTGATCCCCCACGTTTGAGGGGTTGCTGCTTATCGTTGAACGCGATCGGCCAAAACTCCGATGGTGCCTCAGGAACACAGGCAGGCTATGACTTGGCAGGAACAGGCACACATGGCTCGGATTGGACCGAAAAGGGTAGATCATCCTGCAAGAAAGCTATACCTTGTCACTCTGAAGGACAATGTGAATGCATAGTGCTCAATGGAACATTTTGATAAAGCAATCGCCGGCTATTCTTGCATCATATTCATTGTCCCCACTTGCTTATCTGCCAGGCTCCATATGGCCCGCGTCCAGCTGTTGATGGGGCAACCGGCTACATACAGAACATCAAATCTTTCCCATCGCAGTCAAAAGCCAAGCTAACGATAACCTCGTGGGGAACGGCACGCCCCATTTTATCTGTGGTCCGTATCAATTAGCTCATGGATACGCACTTCATAGATGGAGTCAGGTTAGCAGATATGCCAGATCAACAGAGTATTCGCTTGAGTCGCGAGGTGGAACGCCTCGTTACCGCCCCTTATGCACCTTCATTTCAGGTAAACTCCGCTACTCCACGCGAACATCTTAGGTCAATGCGTTATATGCTAATCCCTGGCACATTCAGGACCTATATAGCTTGACTCAATCAACAACATCACAAAGCATTCGACTGTGGGCCTCTCACAAGCCCTGTCAAATCGGGGCTCTAGTTGACGTACTCGTGGATGGTCTATCGCGCTCTCGTTTCGCGTTACCTCTACTTGGGACATTCGGTAAGCTCATTGCTTGTATTAGTTGCATTGGCTAGGCTGATCTTCGGCAGTTTCAGCACCCGCTGTTCGGGATGCTTTGCTGGAGCGACATCCATGTCTTCTCGATCAGTTCCTTCAAGGTGCTATCGGCGATGACAAGGCAGAGGTTTGTACGCCCCTTATTCAAAGAGAATTGCTAGCCACGGGTGGCTAGTAACACTGTCGAGCTATGAACTTCATGGACTGACTTCCTTAGTATGCTTTGGTGTGCACCGCCATCCTGGCGTCTCCTCTACCGCCTGACTTTATGATACCCGCACGCTTGACACAGTTTATGGAAAAGATGATACGTACAATGGGAGAAGATCCCCGTGCAGAAAACATCCTACCTCTAAACCAAATCTCTAATGGCATCAAAAGATCACCTCGGCTCCTCGAAGAGATCCCGTCCGAAGTGATGGCTAGCCTTCAGGTAGAGCTCACGAAAACGCTGCGTAACCTGAGTGACCACATGGGCAACCTTCTCTGTCTAGCAACTTTTGCACGCATGGCATCCTTAGGAGATCCGGCGACCGAGAAAGGCTGTGTGCGGTTTGTTCCGTCATGGTTGCAAAGCGTCAACCATTTCTTTGGCCCCAAGCGGGGTCTCAAAACTTTGGACCTCGTCGTCCTGCGCGTTATTCTTGCTTGCTCTGATAGCTGCAGTGACTTAACGGTAGACAAAGCAGCCGAGAGTATTCGTTTGGCCATCGAAATATGTGATAGAGTCGAGTCAGAACAGAGAGAAAGCTGGGTCAAGGCAAATGGCTCAAAGATTGCCAAACTACGGGAGAAGATCACCAGGAATGGTATTGATTCTGGAGTGCAGATGCTAGTATGTGCTGGTTCATCTCGAATCTGCGGCAATGTGGACACATGCTAATTATCGTCAGGGTGCGACATTTTTGGCATCGCTGCTCCCAGTTGCCGCATTATCAACCGATATAGCCCGAGTTGCTGTCGATGGGCTTATAAGTCGCGACAGCAAGTTCGTGCTAGGTGTGCTGACATCAGAGTATTTACCACGCCTTGTAGGGGCAAGTGTGGTAAGTAGACCCACGTTGCCATCTGGGGCTATACTAACTCAGTCAAGGCGTGTTTAGGCGTGACCGCGATACGCAGTCTGCTTGAATATATTGTGTCCACTTTAGATACTACCAGCTCGCCGAGCCTGACTCATATTCTGGTGGCCAAGTCGTTGGTCACGGGGCTGCATTCAGCATCGCTGAACTCCGCTATCTTTGCAGAACCTCTTGAACAATGTCAGCAAGTCATGTGGAAGATAATTGAAAGCTTCCCGAGGAAT